CTTGGAAAGCGCAAAGAAGAAAACAATCACACACTTGCTCACTAAATCAAACTAACAATAACAATAACTTTCGCAGTTCGTTTAGTGGACAGACATAACGAAACCTTTAGCTAGACCATCATAAAAGAACCAGACATGTAGGCATAAACACCATAATACACACACAGGGTCACTAACCTATTAACCGTAGCTAAAATAACCCATTTTCAGCCAATAAGCATGATACAAGAAAAACTGACAGCAGTTACAATTAACAACTTCTCTTAAGCTAGTTAAACGTAGCCAGATTAATACAATAATGCTCAGCTAAAAACAGGACATGAAGCCATTTCAGTCAGCTGAGCCACACCTCGCCTACTCCGAACAACCTAATAAAATCCGCCTAACCCCACCCCCCCCCCCCCCCACCAAGCCACCTCCAAAAATCCCTGGTTTTATCCTCCTCATCTGTGCGACGGATTGTGCACATACTATACTACTACTACCTTTATGAAAGCTAAACGAAAATACAAATCTAAAATATTCTAAGAGTTAGGAAAATGTTTCTCAACTGTCGTATTTAGTGTCCATATGAAGGACTACAGATTCTACCTACCGGTCGAGTAGAGAACTGGTTAAAGTGCTTCACCAAAATGTTATGCGCCAAATCTGGGCAGCTCACCACTACACTTGGTCTCAGGCCTTCATAAAACCTAATTTTGAAAAGAAAACACAATTGACTAAAAATTTAACAACATCGGGATCATCATGTCTCACACTCATATCGGGGACCGGGTGGTCCATTGGCTCGCTGGTAGACGACATCGTTGCCAGTCGGGACAGTGTTTGGGTTTATCTCCTCTGCTCGCATCAACACTGCAGGAGTCCTTTACATGTCTACTTTTTGAGCAATGCTATGCCATTTTATTTGGGGCACAATTATAACCTAAAGTTGTGGTCTCTAACATTTTTCTGGTGGCGCCACAACAAGAAAAAAAATAAAAAAAAAAAAAAAAAAAAAAAAAAAAAAAAAAAAAAAAATAAAAAATAAAAAAAAAAAAAAAAAAAACAAAATAAAAAAAAAAAAAATCTAAAAAAAAAAAAAAAAAAAAAAAAAAATAAAAAAAAAAAACCCCCCTTACCCCCCCCCCCCCTGTTTCCTTCCCTCCTTTACCTTTTTGGAGTATATATATGGCAAGACTTCCCACGTCCCGGATTTTCCTCTTCCGACCCTGTCACGTGATTAAAAAGCGGAAGTCAAAAAAAAAAAAGAGCTCCAAAGTACTGTTAACAAACATAAATCTGACGGTTGACACTATTTTGTCTCGACATTATCTGCTTTTTTTGTTCTCATTTTGGACAAGGCACAGTGTAAATCACTCTCCACATCAAGCTGGCAGCACTGTTTTCTTTTCATGGCCGTAAATGCCGAAAAGGTAGTCGCCGTGGCCGAGCGGCTAGACGCTCGCCGCGGATCGGACGGTCGTGGGTTCGCTCCCTGGCGGAGCCGTACTATTTTTCAAAAATGACCTTGGCTCCCAGGTCGACCCAGCCTTGAGTGGGTACCCGGTGCAGTCCCGGGAAAGTGAAGACGGCCGGCGTGATACTGACCACATCCCCCATCATGTGCCGATTGGTCTAAAAAAATATAGGTCTAGCCCTATATGCCCTATACGCCTTAAGGCGTGGGAAAGGGTCCTTTACTTTTTTTTAATGCTGAAAATCCTGATCATTACCAGTACAAATGCACTCAGTTTGAAAAGTGCATGAGGTGCCTATTGAACGTTTATTCACGCCCGCTTCCAGATTGGAAGCTATAGGTCCTAAATATGATCCTAGAATTATGACGCAAGATAAGCTTTAATATAAACTTTTCATGAAACTTTCTATAACATTTAAACTCAAAAGCACCGATATTTCTACCACCCCCCCCCCCCCCCCCCACACCTAACACACCCGCATGTTGCCAAGCATGAAATACTTACTTTACTGGGTCCAAGACTTTACTGTATTGTCATACAAAGTACTTACTTTGCTAGGTCCATGATCCTCTCAGACTTTTACTATAACATTTAATCTCAAAAATTCCGTTAACAAAAATTCCGTTAACCACCCCCCCCCCCTTCCCCCCCCCCCCCCCCCCCCCCCCCCCCCCCCCAAAAAAAAAATTCCTTAGAATGGACCAGACATGAGTAGCTGAATAGACAGCTCAAACTTAAATACATCAAAGTCTTGTAGTAACGAATGAACGAAGGAAATATTTCAAGAACGAACTAACGAACAAACGAACGAACGTAAGACTTTATTTTAAAATAGGTAAAATTAGACACACAGACCCATCTTAGGAGCCGCATTTCTAGATTCATTTTAATAGAGTATTTTGTTAAGCAATAACACTTGGGTAATCAAACAAACATTGACAAGCAGACAAATCTACTGACTGACAGACAATCAGACTGGTTTCCTACCCAAAGACAGGTCCAAATGTATTTGTCCATTCCTTGAATACATCCATTGGAAACTGATAAAGGGAAAACAAAAAGGAAATTGCAATAAAAGTGGAAAACATTCAGAAACGAAATGCAGGCCTAAATACAGGTAGAAACGTGAATTAATCAAGTAACAGAAAGTATTGTGAACGGCATTCATAGAAAGAAGTAGAAAGATAGAAGAACACACTAGACAACATAAAAATCGAAAGCTATAGTTACCGTGCCGGGAATTGAACCTGTCACCTCCATGTTACTTGATTAATTCATAATATTTAACGGCCTCAAATGGTTCCCCCCTCTGTTTATTTATAGGTAGAAACGTGATACTTACAAAAACACGTATTATTATTATTATTATTATTATTATTATTATTATTATTATTATTTATTTATTATTATTATTATTATTATTATTATTATATTATTATTGTGGTGGTCACAGTCTTCTTCTTCTGCCTTTCTATCCCCCAGAGCATAGGCCCTCAACCAACTCACGCTATGTCGTTCTATCCTTCGCCATTGCATAGAGCTCTCCCCATGTCCTCCCCATCTTTCTAACCTCCTTCTCCAGCTCTCTTCTCCATGTGTTTTTAGGCCTTCCTTTATTCCTATGCCCCTGTGGGTTCCACACTGTGGTCACAGTGGCTCCTCTTTATTTTCCAGGGTCCTAGTTTAGGGAACAATGAACAAAACCCCTGACAACAACATGTTTGTTTGTTTTAGTATCCAGAAGCCATGAGTTGTTAACCCTTCGGTTCGGTATTATGGATATCGCAACCTTTTGGCCTTGATTCCATTGTAAATACCGTAAATCTGGAAGAAATGTGGCTTTCCTGCCTACCCACAGGATTGAACCCGGACCCAAGGAGTTCTTCACCCGGTCTATGAGCAATCTGGTTTAGCCAACTACGCTAGAGAGCCGAGCGCTAACAACATAAATTACCAAACAGGGCCACTTGATATCAGCATGCACACACAACAGCAGCTGATAAAGGCCTTATTCGTATCAGCTTTGTACTAATAATACCAGACTAGGATAGTCGTAGAGAACAATAAACGCAAAAATTTCAATATGTCAAATTATTATCATCATCATCAAGTGCCTTGCCATCTGACGTAGACGTTCATGCATCTCCACAGATATTGTCTGTCTTTAGTTTTTTGGATCAATTCCACTGATGATTTTCTCCCATGCTTTTTTCTTAAGCCATCCACCGTCATTTCTCTTGGTGTGCCTCTGCCTCTTATAAAAGTGATCTTTCCAGTCGCCAGTGCTCTTTTTCTCAGTGTCAGATTATATGTATAAGAAATGCGACGGAGAAAACCACATGAGTCACCTACGAAACAACGTAGCACGGTCCAGGTAAATGATTTCATAGAAAGCCAAATAGACAAATAGTTCGGTCATCTGGTCAGATTGCAACACAATCAGACAACAGCTACTGCGTACTGCAGGAGATTAGCAAGCTCTGAGGGAAGAGACCGACTAGAAAATAGATGGGTGGCGGGAGTAAAAGAGACATTACAGAAATACAATGTAACAGTAACACAAGCTACGTAACTATAGTGCGTTCCTGAAGTTTTTCCCGACTTTAAAAAGCTGTAACTCAGGAACAACAGATATTATTCAGAAAAGAACAGTGATCCAATAATCAGAAAATACTCTCAGCAACCATTTCTCATATAGTATTTTACTCAGCATGTCAGTCTGTGTATCTGTGAGGGTTAGTATGTGTGTGTGTATGTGCGTGTGTGGGAGGGCGGGGACGGCCGGGGGGGGGGGGTAGGGGTGGGGGTGTTGTAATGAAGTATCTCGCTATACTCCCAGGAGTCGACGCCATGGACAAGTCAGATTACTTGTGTTCCGACGAAGATTATGGAAGAGTTTTAAGTAACAGCCCATTGTGAATAGTCTGAGAGGTCTGTTGGTGGTAATATTTCACGGCTGTTATGAGGAGCGGCTGGCCGAACTGTTAGAATGCTGGGATCTCAAGTGGGAGACCCGAGTTTGAATCATCAACAATATAAGCGATGTATTTTGTTTCTGTTGGGGACACGCAAGAAACGCACAACACGCAAACTTAACCAGCAAACCGTAAAAACAGCACATATAGAGCCACTAAATAAATACTTGGCTCAGAAACATAACCCAATCCCTTATTCCCCCCCCCCCCCCCCCCCCCCCCCCATTCCTTGGGAGATTTTGAACTGAAAACACAATGTTAAACACAGGTAAACGTAAAAAAGGAAAGAAGATGCTGATGGTTTAGTCATGATTGCAGAATGCTCCCTGACACTTTGGCAAGGACTGGTATGCTATGTTATCAAATGCAGCGGAAGGCAGACAGGGAACAATGTGACGACGTAACCAGCTTCTCATGGGGAAAATTAGTAGAAGTATTTTGGAGTGGCTGCTGCTTCGGAGAACTGAGCACGCATGGATATGCCCAATGTGCAGTGACATTAATTGTGATAACAAAACATAAAATAACATCTTAGAGTCTGCAGTACGAAACCCAAGTTCAAGGTGTCTCCTTCGTGCCAAAGAACTGCATGGCTGTTGGGTGAACAGTCGTTAACGATGGCAGGCAGATCGTTGTAGGGGCGACGCCTGCCGGTGGATGTAATGTCCTAAGCCCCTTCCCCAGCTAATAATGAGGGTACTGCTTGGGTGACCGTTAATTAACCCTCATATAATTCTTCCGGTCAAAATGAACGCTAGGCACGGCCACCTTTTTTATTTTTTTTTAAAGCCGTGGCAAATGTTTTTTTTTTTTTGTTTTTTGGCCAGACGGTGGCCGTTGCCTTTTTGCTCCATTTGTAGACTGGAAGGATGTAGTTTCGTCGCCCAGCTTCTGAGTTGAGTGCATGGCGTGACACTGTGAGATGCGTTTGTTTTTTGTTGGCACAGGAGCAGAGCATCTGTGGGGTGACCCGTTTGCTATGAAGCTGAAACTAGGATTAGCAGATTACCAGATGACGACGTAAGGAAACATGGGAAAGAACAGAAAATCGGAAAATGAAGGAATGTGAAATCTTAAGAGATACTATATCCAGAAAATCAGCAGACTAGAATCAGCAAAAATCACGTGAGAATGTTTCATGTGTCAAGAGCAACATGAAGTGGATATAGGTACAGACTGATAATGTTTTAAATGTCATAATGTTTCAAGACTTGTCATTTTAAAAGGGTGTGATGTTACTGAGAGCTGGGTGTTTTTAATTGCCTAATGTTTTAATTAATTTTTTTTTTTTTTTTAATGGCTTGATCATTTGAAGAACGAAATAGTTCAAAGTGAAGTCCTAATGAAATGAATATTGTAATTAATAAACAGACATAAAGACGGACAGATAGGCAGAAAATAGACAGGTAATCAGACAGACGTATGTACAAATAAGTAGTCAGTAAGGCTGATTTGATCTTGATCTGATTTAAGAACCGGCATCGCAACACTTAGGGCATTCCTACAAGTGCTGTGTCCCTATCTTCAGCAGCCAACGCAGAATTTAAATAACAATGATGCGAAACGAAAAGCAGCTTGACTATATGTCAGTCTTGTCTTTGCTCGGCGCGTCGAGTATCAGCCAAAGCCCCTCGTCACTCCCCGCTGCATCCCTCTCACCAGACTGTGCTGATCCATGCTATACACGTGCTCTCATAAAGTCTTAACCACGTCTGCCTTTTCATGTAATCAATATTACACCAAGCTGTGCAGAGCCAGCCAATCTGTCCGCCTTTTCATTTCCCAATGCACCGGCATTCACTGGAGAAATGATCCAGACAATGCTCTTCACCCTTGACCTCTGAAGCGAAGCATTCCACTTTGCACGAAGCAGGCCTGTCCTCGTCTTCCTCAGCATGCATTTTGGGTCAGTCACAGTTACGATGTGTGTGTCAGACAGACAGATCCACAAATTTTTTGAAGCTCCGCCCACTCCTAATGTAGAAGACATTGGTAAATTACTGTTCTAATAATTTACAACATCATAAGACACAAAAATGCAAGTAAGTAAACAACTAGACGAGCGGATATTACAATAACAGGGGGCAGTGCAATAAACTTCACTTTAACTTCACTTTAAGTATAAACAGACGTGGGTATTCTTCTTTTGTGAGTAATGTGGCTTCTAGATGTATGTGTTTATTCGGTGCAAACATTCCCCTGATAGTTATGTGTGTGGTGTGAGGGAGTCTCATAGACACGACAGTTCTACGACGTCTGAGTTATGCTCTCATCTGTTACTGTAATGGTGGTCGTTACATCTCCTCATTTGAAACGGTGGCTTCTCTGGAAAGTGTTTATCTTATTGTCAGGAGGGGAGCTATTGTGTTTTGTGTAAATGTTTCCTGAGTTTAGAAATGAATCAGTCTCTGTACGTATGTGTGTAAGTGTTTTTGTTTGTGTATTTGTCTGTGTGCATGTGTACTTGCATGTGTGTGTTGCATAAATTATTCTAACTGGGTTCATTGTGTACATGTGATACATACGTCCCTCTGGTACAGCACATAGTCATTGTATGTCGTATGTATATAACTTAAGGATAGTGCACAATCTTGCTGTGTCATGCATACGTCAAGCTGCTACAGTACACAATCGCTGTATGTCTTACGTCACTCTTTATGTGGCGCATTCTTTGTGTGTCATACAGACGTCACTCTTGATAGAGCGCATTCTTTGTGTGTCATACAAACGTAACTCTTTATGGAGCGCATTCTTTGTGTGTCATACAGACGTCACTCTTGATAGAGCGCATTCTTTGTGTGTCATACAAACGTCACTCTTGATAGAGCGCAATCTCTGTGCGTCATACAAACGTCACTCTTTATGGAGCACATTCTTTGTGTGTCATACAAACGTCACTCTTTACGGAGTGCATTTTTAGTGTGTCATACAGACGTCACTCTTGATAGAGCGCATTCTTTGTGTGTCATACATACGTAACTCTTTATGGAGCTCATTCTTTGTGTGTCATACAGACGTCACTCTTGATAGAGCTCATTCTTTGTGTGTCATACAAACGTCACTCT